ACATGATAGAAAGCATATTTTAATTTTGACGCACGCGAAAGGCGCGCACAAAAATATAAGGTACATAACATTTAACCATGACCTGAAGTTTATGCCCACTAAATATGATTCAGAAATCACGACTGATTAAGGTGATTATGGGGTCATCAAAGGCTTGACGAAAGAAAGATGATGGGGGTAAGCAAAACCCTATATTTTGACCATGATGACGTCATCAAAATGTAAAAAAATGCCACATATATGAAAGAGAATTGCCTCAGCTACAACATACTCAAAGTTGGAAGACAATCGATCAAGAATAAGCGAGATACGCTCAAATACGCATTTGTTAAAATGACGTCATCGATAATATTCAGTTTGTTGAATTCAGATGGCAATATGATGACGTCATAATGTCCGATCAGCCATTATGACCTATATAAGCATATTTACAACTCATGTGCTTTCAGAATATGTAATAAAAATTGGGGGTCACTTTTCATCCTAAAGGGCTGTAACTGTTTAAAATTAGGCCTAATTTTAGCAAAATTTCACTGTATATCGGCACAAAGGCACACTAAGGTCACTATGTTTGATGTGTGCGTATGGCATTGTTATTGGCCCTTGTTTTTTGATAAACAATGACCTTTCAGAGGTCAAATTGATGTCAAGAATATGAATTGGCTGCTTCGCAGCAAAAAACTAATTGAGTTTGATTTCTCTCCTAGAATTTTGTCATGTATTTTAAATTTCTTGTTACACCACAGTAAGTTAAATTTAAATATACAATGTCAACAATTAGATAGTATTGTTGTTCCGCAAGGTAGTGCTTTGCCTCCATACGTAGTTTTAAAATCTTGGATCCTCACTGCAAAATTATAAAATTTCTATCTTCAGTACATGCTGTGCGTGTGAAAATAAGCACACGGCGTGTAAATTATGGACAATTTTGGAATGCTGAAAATGACATAAAACCAAATGAATTGTGCTATTTGAAAGTGATATTGAGAATTTTTTTTAAAACGCGCGGATAGTAATGGCACACGAAATTGAACCTGGTCAAGTGTCATTTAAAAATGCCGGTTAGTCTGTAATGCCACACGAATATTACATATCACTGGGTCAGTAACAAGTAACCAGTAGTCAGTGATCAGTAACCAGTAACCAGTAGTCAGTAGTTAGATTCAACACAGAAGAAAAGTACAGGGCTGAGCTGACTCCACTCTAAAAGGGTTCTCTAACATCTGAAACCTCACAGTTTGTGTGAATAAAAGTTTGCAGTGAACTAAAAGGAACTGTGCATACTACTCATTAAAAGTCACCAACAACTAACTGATATTCAACAGTAATGGAGATCAGTCTGGTCAGAATAGTAAGTTGTGTTTATATGAATGCATTTATGCTAAATATTCAATTGTTACAAATACTCTTGATTTTTATTTTGTCGCGGATTATTGTTTATTGGTCTGTATGGTAGTCATGTGGTAGACCAATATATTATTTATTTTAACAAGACTGACTGAATGCTGCTGTCGTCGTCGTGTTTTGTACGTATTGCCAGGGAGTTGTTATAGTGTATTGCACACCAACAGCAACGTCAATTGCCGTGTTCATCGTGTGTAAAAGATTTTAGTTAGGTAAGCACATTCGATTCAATACCATAATGTAAAATGTTGTTCAGATCACGTTAATTTTTACTAAAACACATGTTACACCTACTAGACGACAAGCAGTAGTCGACTTACCACAACTACCTAAGTTCACGCTAGGGCCTAGACGTTCGCATAAACAACACAGACAACTTCTCTAGTGTAAACTGTATACTCTCGCGAAAGAAAACAAAATTTCCGCAAAATATTAAACACGTTCGATCCAAAACCATTATGTAAAGACCGTGTTTGGTTAGATCACTTTTTTTCATTTTTAATAACACGTGCACCTGCTACATTAACACGACAGAGGCCTAACCCTACCGACGATCCCGTAAACAATTGGTCAACTACACCAACAAGGTATGCATTATGGAGCTCGCTTACCCTCTCGCGATGAAAAACGAAATGTCCGCAAAGTTTTTCCGACGCATGCGCTTATCGAAATTTTCTCCTAAAAACGACTTAAAAATGGTGGTATGGGGTATATGTTTTATCGCGTACTTCCTACATTTCTCATCTAACATAAAAAACAAACAATTCTTGCACAACTACATGTCCATCAGTTACTATAAGTAAAACATTATACCCACCGTGAGGCACCGTTTAGGAGCCTATTCGTTTACAAACCCGCTGCTCACACACACACATACACACATACATTTCATGTTCGAATTATCCCATTAGTTCCTTGTGACCTTAAAGTTATTGGAACCTCATACATTCTACTAATCATTTATATGTTCAATTATATGTTAAATTTGCGAGGATGTAGTATTTCCTTGAATTTTGCTATTGAATATTTGTTAAAAATCAATAATTACATTACCTTAGCCTAGTCCCTTTAATTTGTTGCGTGCGAACGAAGATTGAGCGTGACGTCAGACTTGTCCCACGGTGTGTATACTGCTCACGCACGCTGTGAAGTTTTTGTAAAACTTTTTTTCGCACGCGACGAGCGAAACTGGTAAATCACTCGCTCATATTTTCGTTCAGTGTCAACAATGGATTCTATAACGCCGTAATAAGTTCGAACCGTATTGTACTGATGATGAAAGCAGCAGCAATGAAGGAGAGGCGGGAGGAGAGAACAACAAAACCAATCAAGAAGAACTAATACCAATTGGTAAGTAAAACATGGCTATTTATTAGCTAACAAACAGTATTTTATATATATTATAGGCCTAGGCTAGGCCCGCCTATCCTATCTGCCCCTAGGCCTACCTACTTATTGTATTATTTATCTGAGCATTCTAAGCTAGGATGTCTGATAATTATTATATTTATACTTCTATTTAGGGCCTGGGCCCTATCCCTAAATATTACGAGACATTGTTGCATTAGGCCTAGATAACGGTGCCAATCGGCGATTTTTAGTTGAAATAAATATAATCATGAACACTAGAGCTATTATTATTATTTAAGCCCCTAGGCCTATACTCTAAAGTAGGGGCCAGGTCTATTATGTTGCACTACTTGGCATCGTCACGTAGCCTATACTCATTACTGTATTCCTTTAATAATGTTACGTTGCCAAAAATATTCCTATATACAATATTTTAAAGACTCCATTACATTGTCACTACATGTTTACAGTACTTAAATTAAATTACATAATAGTGTAGTTTTATATCCGCACATCATCTAATGTAAGGTGCTCAAGGCGCTTGATATGTGGACTAGGAACGAACTCGATCAATGGATCGATTATTTTTGTACTAAATGTACTAACATTTCGAAGAGTCTGCTCCCGAGGAGTTAATTATTATTATTATTATTTTTAAACTATAGTAATAAAATATTAACATATTATTTATTGTAAATTTAAGGTGTTCCTGTAAGAAATGTAGTGTAATGCCAACAACTGAGGAGTGTTTATGCTGTATGGAAATTTTGAAAATTAAAGATAAATTCATTGAAGATGCCCCAGCTATTGTTGATGGAAATATGAAATGCATTACACAGCATCCTGGATTTAGATCTATCTGCCTTGACATATGGGCATTACAAATGGCCTATGACGAAATTCCAAAGAAAGACAAAAGAGAAGTGACCACACATGAGTAAGCTATTTCTTTATTTATTAAATACTGTAAAAACAAAATATACAAACTAAAAAGCATTAATAAAAGCCATGCATGTTTAAGGCTTAAGTTTAAAATATTTTTTATTTACATAAAATATCGACATACAAGTTACAGAAATTTTGTAAAATGGATATGGAGATACAGAGGAAAACGTCAGCGTACTGTAATACCTGCGTGCGCCATTATCCAAATTCGGAGCAAATTTCAATAAAAAAAATATGTTGGATTCAAGTATCCACCGTTATAATTTCTGTCACTTCTCTCATCAAAGCCAGTTTTAATGCACATTTGTCCAGGCAAATATATTTACATCCAGGATACATTGTAATACATTTTAAATTTCCATCAAAGCTTGAGCATCATCAGGTTTTTCCTTAATTTAAAAAATTCCTATGGAGCATAAACACCCTTTAGATGATGTAGTTATGCTACATTTCTCACAGAAATCTTAAATATACTACTAGGTTGTTTTCTTTAAATAACATATTGACTTATTGTCAATGTTGACAAGGCAAACTATATTGGAAGTACATTGTACAATAAAATATAAACTACATTATTTAAACTTTATATATTTGTTTGCTGGTTTTATACTACTGTTGCAAATGTGTACATAATATTGAAATGATGAAGAGAAAACAACATTTATACTAGTGAAAAAAGGGCTGCAGAACAAATATCATGAGAACACATAATTTGCAACATGCTACACCATCTCAAACAAAACGTGAGCGATGAAGTGCTACAGCCTCCTGTTTGTTTGGATGTTCAAAGTGGGAGCATAAAGCAGATGGAGGTACTTCTAAATGGTGTACCTGTCCTTCAGCGCATGTTTCCATTACTTGTGCCATTACTACATCTGCATACTCTGCATAATTAAAATAGTTAGAAAAAGCACTTAATCAAATAATAAATGAATCAATATTTAGAGTACTGTTATATCAGCACATTTGGTCATTCAATTTGGGATTGGCACTATATAAATATTTAAGTAATATTAACTTAACATTAACATTTATATAGTGCACATTTCTACAAGATTATTATTATTATTATATTATTATTATTATTAATATTATTGTATTATCCAAAATAAAAATATATATATAAATATATGGGTAATATAACTTACTGAATATTTGTTCAACATAAACAGGCTTCACAACAAAGCCCCCCTTTTTGAATTTAGGGAATGCTACCCCAAAACATTTCTCTCCATCATTCGTTGTGGCTTGGATACGTCCACCAATCATTCGTTGTGGCTTGGATACGTCCACCATTTTCATTATAGTGCATTGCTGCTACCAGAGTCCTGAAAATGTGTATGATAAATAAGGTTTTACACAAATACACGACAATACATTCATGTTGTTACATAGTTGATTAAGCCTTTCTAGAGTCATTATTGACATTGTTCGACCCTCTTAGCGTTATTGATTTAGTGTCAGTGGTAGTGGTAATAATAATAAGTACATATAAACAAATTTTATTACTCAATAAACAATATAAACAATGTAGAACAACAAATACAAGGTCATTCAGTAAAATACCAATTATTAAATAT